AGTCCATACATACATATGTCTGTATTTACAGTGCATGTATGTGCATGTGTGTATGTATGTGTGTCGCTTGGCTGCTGTCGACGACAATGTGTTGATAAGGCAACGACGAAACGCTCACACATCGTATACAGGCAGACACACAAACACTCATTGATGCTCTCATGCATGCTGCCTTACATGGTTGTTACAATTTCCACTTCCGGCCGCTTGCACGCACCAAAACTTCGCACACACACTCAAACAGCCACATACACATTTACATTCTAGAGGTGGTCATAAAGAAAAGAAAAAAACTGGCACATCGAAATTATTGCGGATATACTTGTAGAGAACCCGGATATGCGTGTTGAATTTAAAACAAACTAAATCAGCCCTTAAAAAGTAAGTAGATTCTCAAGTAATCTACCAAGCAGTTAATACCATCCATTAACAAGAAAGAAATGATATTTTCTTCAATACATTAAAAGAATATTAAATTGATTATTAATTGATATTAAATAAATTTAATTTTAAAAAATATTCAATAGGATTCAACAGGATATATAAATATACTTAGAAAATGCTTTCCTTTTGTATGTCTACACGTAGTATATTTAAAATCCATTTATCATAATTCATATCGTAATTTAATATGTTCCAGGTTCTGTTACTTGTACATTAATTTATTTTCTAACAGTAGTAAAGATCAATTCAATGTAGAAAAATAATTAAATATTGATCATTTAAATTGAATCTTTTATAATTTACTAGCTTAGATGTTTGGTGTCGTGTTGGCCGCAAAAAAAAACGACTACTTGGCCATCTCTAATACATGCAGATATGCAAGTATGTACATAGAGGCAGGCATATGCCCGCAGCCAACTCATTTTCGTTTGTGGCGCTTACACTGAGCTTTGCTCTGTTCATCGCTTCTGCTGTTGTTGTTGTTGTTGTTGCTGCTGCTATTGTCAACTCTGATCCACTTTTGCATACATTTTCACACTTAATGCTTAGCTGTGAGTTTGTGTGTGTGTGTGTGTGTGTGTGTATGTGTGGGCCTGCATGACCATGACAAATTGGCGAACGCCGCACGGCATTTGTGTGACACACTCGCTGAGTTGGCAAACGCTTATTAGCTATGTAGTATATACACTAAGCACATACCCTACACACTACCTAATACATAGAGCGAGGGAAATGCGTTTTGGCTTAAGGTTAGCTGTCTTTAAACTTGACAGTCGTCGGTGTTTCCTCTGCTGCGCTTCGTTACACTTTGTCACACTTTCGAGCCAGCATCTTGGGGTCAGGCTTCGCTCCCGTTGTTCTGGCCCAGCTGTGCACTTTTCGCACTTCCGGTTACAGTCCATTTAGGGCACCATATTGTGGTGTTGGCACTTTTGCGCATATTTTGCAAAATCATTACTTAAATACACACTCTCCGGGCAGGCACCCAGCCGACCAGCCGTCCAGCCAACCAGTCAGCAAGCACTGTCCACGGCTAGCGCCTCTCGACTAGCTCCGCTGCCGCAACGGTTCGAGTCCAGAAAGTGGCTGGCTGGCCAGTCAACTGGCACGCTTCGCCTTCGCCGCCATTGCCATTGGCATTCTTCTCTGCCTCTTATCCTACGTGCTCCCAGCGCCATCCCATATTCTGCACTTTCGTTGTTTTTCGGTTAAAAAATGCATTTTCGTTCTTTTCACTGCAGCTGCGTCGCTTGCCTGTCGTCGATCTTTGACTAGCCAGCATTTAGCCTTAACGCTTTCTATCTTTCTCGCTCACATTTTCCGGTTTTTCACTCTTTTTCCTTTTGCTTTGTTGCAGTTTAGTTGTTAATTTATGAGAACATTTAGTAGTTTTGTACCTGGGCAACCCTCTGTCTGTCTTTAAACTATTACTTTGCCTTTCTTGTTCACCCTTGTGATGTACATATAATAAGTGAGTTATATGCGAGTACCATGTTTTTTTTTTACATGTTGCAAGCAGTTAACATATTTTAGTAGCTGGTGCTGCTACAAATTCAAATAATATCATCCGATTCGTGTACGTACTATATGTACTGCATTTCGTGCAAATTCCTATAATTCCAAAGCTGTCGATTGCTAAACGATTTGTTCGTTGTAAGTCTATTTGCCTGCTTCTTTTTATGGCCCTTAAAGCATTCTTTATTACGGTTTTAAAGTAGTTTGATTCTTGGATGTGTCATGTACAAAAAATATGTACAAGCTATATATACGCTCTGATCTATTAATTCCTGCTTATATATCTACCGCACCCAACCCTCTAAGGATGGAAAAGCAACTAAATTGGTAATCAGATTTTCTTTTTTGTTATTCCGTCATCACATCAATTACAGTACATATTTTTAGAGAAACATAGGCAGATAGAAGGTAGCAAGAAAATTATTTTTCAAAAATAATTAAAGTCAAAAATAGTTGAAACGTTAAAGTGGTGCGAGTCCGACTCTTGTACACCATGTAGGTACGGGCTCTTCCACAATCCTGCACCTTAATAATACTTTCTTGTGCCAATCGTTCCAGTGATTGCTATGTTTTCGATGGAAGCTCACAATATAGAAAAGAATCGAAAGTTATTGATTAACCAAAAATGATTTCGTACTAAAAGTTATATCTTAGGTGATCGTTGTTATTTGACCTTCAAGATATGATAAAAAATTTTAATGAAGTTCCAGAATGTAGAAAGCGTTACCAAAAAAAAATTCTGATTTCAGTCTGCATAATAAAGTCCTACTTGTATTTCATACAAGTATATAGTTTCACCGAAAAGCCAATTTTCAAGGAGCCTAAACTAAAGTTCTCAGACAAAGCTACCCTTGCAATGAATTTTTGAAGGACGACCTCCAGATTAACACAGTAAAGACAGAGATATTCCGAGGACTTAATGCTTAACATATTTGCATACTTTACAAATGAAATACACAGGCTCCTACCAGCGTTACACCTGACATTATGGTCGAATTCTTTTTTAAGAATCTATATCTTGATTAGATTCACAATTAACTATGCTTTGCACAATATTTAAGGCTCAATTAAACTAAACAGTAATATTTTAGAATAAAATCTAAACTTGTTGAGGTATAATTTTAAAGTTCATTGACAAATTTATGAAAACCATTTTTTTTTTAAATTTTTTGTTATTTATTTATTTTTTTGTGCGTTTTAAAGACCTTACAATACTTCATTCTATGTCCCTAGAAGTGTTTGTGCTTTGTTTTAATAAATTTCTTTACTTCGATAAGTTAGGCCCTGCTATTCTTTCTATTCTATGCGGCTGAAATGTTTAATTTACAAAAGAACACCTTAAACCAAAAAAATTCGCTGTAAACCAACAATTTGCAGATTTGCTATTTGAGCAATTTTTAGCCCATGATTCAGAACAAGTCCCACAAACACACAATATTTAAACCGTTATATTCATGATAGAGATTTCACCATATTGACATCAAGTGGGTGGTTATACTTGTAGGAAACGCTACGCTTTCATCACCAGGCGTTAGCATTTTAAAGGTAAATAGGCAAATAGAAACCAATTATGGGTTTTAGGTATCACCGACAAATTAGTTCCCTAGTTGATTTGATTAAAACGCCAAACAGAAACCACCAATGAGCAGAAAGCTTTGGCCTATAACTGTGAAGCTGGATATGCAAATAATGCTTAAGTGCCAGTGGCTCAACAAATAGTGTGATTGTGGGAATGAAAACAGTTTCTAGTTGCTAAGAATTAGTTTCATAAAACCTGTAGAGTGGGGGTTAGAGCAAGAGAGAGAGCGAGAGAGAGAATGGATGCTAATGTACTAATAATTTGGCATTGCTTTGTTAACGACCAAGTTAATTACCAACTGCTAAGATCATAAAGCAAATCAAAAGATTTACACCGCTACCGATACTAAAAGCACCAATGATCCGCCTACTATTTGCTTAGGCCACTTTTCTGGCACAAAGTGCTAAAACGATCATCCGTTATATGACTAAATAAGTAGCGGCTACTTGTGCGACTACTAGTGTGTCTTTATTGACCACACGGGGCAAAAAAAAAAAAAAAAAAAGCGGCAGCTAAGTACTGGGTGCTGATATTAAAGGCAAACATATTGATTGACTTGTTCCGTCACCGTCACCGTCCCCGTCACAGACTGACGCCCAGCGAGCGTCAAGAATTACAAGTGTGTGTTTACACAATTGAAGTAGCGACCTAAGTACATAAAAAGAAAGCGCTAAAGAGGGGCATGCTCAAGAACAGGACAACTCAATTATCTATTATCTATTTATGTAGTTCCAATGAACTGGGAAACGTGTACCAACAAATACCATGGGCACTCACTCATTGGCGGCTCTCGCACATCAATTGGATGGATGGAACACGTTGTCCAAAAATCTCACACCTGGTTTCAAGTGAAAGGTGGTGAGTGCTTGATTAAATGCAAATTAAGCACCTTAAGCGACAATGTGCGTAAATTTTAAGCACTCGCTGTGAGTGAGTTGTGCACATTGTGTTTTATGTTGGCCCGAGGGCAACTGGAGCAGCGACTGGATACCTCCTGCCGCCTGCCATTCTTGGACGCAGCGTGTGTCCTGCGCTTAACTTTAATCACACTAATTACGCAACTAAAAGGATAATCGTGTCGCTGACCGCAAAATGTCGTTAATGCGTTTCTCTAATTTAAGCAGCGAGTATTTTTGTATTTGCCCGCTCCAAAGAAATCCTTCAATATGTGCGCTTAGCTTTTAGCTGTCAAACAAACTCCAACAGCATCAGCTCACTAATCCACGACAGCGGCGGGAACAAGCAGCGGCAAAGGCAAAGGCAAAGGCAAAAGCACAGGAACTGGAGCATGGACAGCAATATTAAACAGCAATATTAAATTAAGGCCAGAGTTGGTGCCCAAATGATGTTTGCTAGCTGCTTAAATCATCAATCACACCGTGCTTCAATCTGTACGGGTTTTGCTGGAAATTCCCAAGACTTGAATACTTAAGTCGCCAATCAAATTTCACTTTAATCAACATCTGATAATCTAAGCATATACTTTATAAGAACTTATTTCAAATACGCTACTAAGTGTGAATCTCTCCTCAATCCTTACTCTATTCAGTAAATTGACGTACGCAGGCGGTAAGTCATCATGAAACCGGTCTCTTCTGTTGGATCATGGACCATATCGTCACTGGAGAAGTGCATAAAATAGGGCGGCGAAGCTGTGCGTATTATAGGTTAGAATCAGGATGCTATCATTGAGGCTCAACAGTGCTTACCATAGACAATTAGGTTATCATTAACACCACAATAGTAGGTCGGCTGGTATTCTATGTGTCGTGCCAGTATAGATTGTGGGATCAAAAGGTAATCCTCCGCCCTGCCAGTCGTGTGTATGGTGCTATGACAAGCTTCATCATAGCCTTCAGGGGTGCCACCGACATCCATTGTTTGAGACATGGAAAATTTGCTGAATGTATATCTGTAAAAGGACAATTGCCAGCAGTCGCTTAGATAACTCTCCCCACTCTCTCCTCTCCACAACTCACTCAATCATGCTGGCAGTTGCCACAGACTTGATGCAGATCGTGTAGCTGGTATCGGGCATGTACATGGTACCTATGGTCGACTGATGGTTGAAGCTGCGAATAGTGCCCGTGGGCTCCGTATAATACTGCTGACAACCGGCGGGCGCCAATAGATCGTAGTCTGCATGGTGGAAGGCAAACATGGTGCGCAGGTCCTGCAGGCTATTGGTGGCAGCTCCAAAGCCGCTAAGTGCGCTCGTCTTGCGTACGGTGCCCGGACCTTCGAGCTGTGTAACTATCAGACGCCAACTGGATCCCGTCATCCGGCTGGCCATGTTGAATGTTATCGTGATCTGATCAATGCCAGATGCCACATTAAAAGGCAAATAGATGTGCTGGCCGGAGTTGACGCCGCACAGCTTAAATCCTCCCGCCTCGAAATAGTCCTTACACTCGTACACGGTTTCATCATCGGCCGATACGGTTGGCTGTGGCAAATTGAATTGCTCAAAATCAATTCGCAACTGTTGCACGTTGGTGCTGAATGCCTCAATGGTATATGTACAAACGTCGCTGGCCAACTGGGCGGGATTCTTAATGATGGTGCGTTTTTGTCGCGACGTCGTACCGCATTGCATATTGGCTTCAGGAAACAAGATTATTATGTAATTAATTATAATTAATTATTTGCAGAAACCCCTAAGTCCTAAATAAATTCAATTCAATCATCACTACGATAGATTCGAATTAAAGTTCTGGAAACCTATTTTTAACCTGGAGATATTATCCTAATTTCAAATTAGCTGACAGAACGCATGATTGAACCAATCCAATGCTACCATATAATTTAATAATCCTTATGACAGATCTTGAATAAAGAAGAAAGATTAAAAAAAAATTGCTGATAACAGGAATAATTTCCTATGCATTTTTCAAACCAGAAACAATATTCTTCTTAAGCTTATGGCTTATAAAGAAAGTCGATCATGTGAACACGGACTGGGGAGTTCGTTTTGGCATATCTTAATATTTCGTTTAATTACCAATTGCACTTCATTTGAAAAACCCTTAACTCACTTTCGCAACACACTCCGTACGTGCCGCAATAGCCGTTCACGGTGCCACTCTGACGCATGCACTTGAAGCGCGTCAGGCAGGTGCCCGTCTCGCCATTGTTGGTGAGGCAGGTGTCGGCCAAAATATTCCGACGGCGACCCTGGCGCCACATTCCTCCGTCCGCTTCTGTACGATTGATTGTCTGTGGCAGGTCGGACTCCGTGTGCGCCCCTTGTGGCAGCAAGGCGATGAGGGAGCCCAGAGCGAGCAACACTGATACATTGTTGAGCGTTTGCATAATCCTTGCTTTATTCGTAAACTTTCTTTCCAGATGCTACTTTAGTTCCTCCTGTTGCGCGTTGTTTGCGCCACCGCTTTCACAAAAACTCTGAGCCATTTGCTCGGTAACGGGCCGCTTTTATACCAACAAACTCGTAGACTAAGCGGCATTGCTGATCGTGATGATGATGATGATGATGATGATGATGTTGCTGGTACATTGTTGTTGTTACGATTGGGACGATGATGATGTCTTTGTCAAGCCCATGCTGATGTGATTTTCGTGTTGAACCCATACCGAGTCAATATTTGGTAAGAATTCGAAGAAGACGCAGCAAGGCGATTGGACCAAACGGGTTCGAATATTTTAAATAGTTGTGCATATTAATTTTCTATATGTCCATAGCAAGTCATTGAACCTAACTAATTCGTCAACACCGCCATAATCATGGCGCACAATTAGTGCAGGGCGTGTACTCTTTTAGAGTGTCTGAAATTTTAAACTGGGTTATGTTTGCGCACATTGCCTCAATGATCATTATTGTTAACTTCTTATTTTGAGCAGACTATCATGATGACGGTATCGATGATTTTGAACAGTCTGCTTGTGTGTGTGTGTGTGTGTGTGTGTGTGTGTGTGTGTGGGTAAGTGTGTGAAAATTACAAACATTCAATTAGGTTTAACTGATAAGGAATTGCACCACAACTGGGCCTAGAAACACCTGCTATCAATGCAGAGGTGCAAGAAACGACCAACTTGAAAGATAAATGACATTTCAACAAATTACATTCTCGCCGAATCAAATCTTAAATAGCTTTGTTAGAACATCAATAAAACATTCTGTCAACCATCGTTGTTTAAATAAAGTGTGGAACTCCTTTGCTTTCATTGATGTATGGAAAGGTTGCCAGACATATGTTGTAGAATGAGATTTGAAATAGTTTCAAAATATACAGGAGTATATGTGTCGCATTTTATTACTAATTTTGTGCTAATTCATCCAAAAAGCAAATTTACCACTCAACAAAACCACTAACGAAACCACCCTCGCTTCAGTCATAGCGCAATATCGTTTATAATTAATGGAATAGCACAAAACGAAAGCAAATATAAGGTTTCTGATTAACTCGAAGGCGAACAAATATCGTATTTTTTCGATTTCAGAGCTTAGCAAAAGGAATTAAGACAACAGGTAGCTGGCATAAATGATTTGAGTGCTCGTACCTCGATTTTTGCATAATAAAATTAAAAACTTTTTTAAAATACAAAATACATGTGCGCTAATATCTCAGGCAGGCAGACTGATTGAATATGTATTATTTAACATTAATCTGCGACGGTAGTGTTAAATTCTCCACTATTTTCAAAGTATTTATGTTTGCGCATTTTCTAAATTCTAACAGAGCTGAGCTCATCACAAATATGATCAGGAACACAGTTTCGATTCAAATTTAAAAGCTCTGCACAAGTCAACAATAACAATTTTTAGAACCACATTGCTTATTGGAATTTCTAGGCAAAAAAAGGCATCTTTTTTTATAATTATTTCCAAGACTTTCTATCTCCCTAATTCGAGATATATTTTGGTTTATTATTAATTATTAATTTTTATTATTAAAACATTCTGAAGGCATTAAGAACGAAATTTCGGGCAATTTAGAATATAGCCATACTTTTCCATAGCTGCGAGATTTAAAAGCTTAAAATGCCCTTGAAATATGCCTATAAATGCATCGATCCATGATCACTCTCTAAGAGGAATTAATATACTTCTATATTTAAGCAAAGAAATAATCTGGCTACTTTTTTGCCTTCTGTTTGTCACTCTCTTTTTAATCAGTACCTTTCATATACTCCGCCATTAGAGATAAACTGAAAGCTCTCTAAATATAGAAGCGCTTTCATAAAATATTACTTGATGTTGATGCAGCCGCAAATATTCCAATTAAAATGTCTGCAAAAGTGCCAAGTTGCCAATTGATAAGAGACCCCCACTGTCATTATGCGCTTAGATAAAACTTATCGATTGCGTATCAGCGCTTGTTGACAATGCTAATTAGGCGCTCGGTTGAAGGCATGTAAAAATAATAACAAAAAGCGTCGAAAGTGTGCAATTTTTCCGATATATAAGCAGCAGCACAAGGGCGTAGCCAACAGTAAGTTTTCATGATGAACGGCCATATTGCTAGCGCTCTTGTCATCGTCGCCGCCCTAGGCGTGGTCGGCACGTATGCCGCCTCTGTGGCGAAGCCCACCTGTGGTGGCACCACCTCGTCGAAGAACATCAATCTGGTGCAGCCAACGAATCCGCCACGTGAGTGCGAGTATCACATCAATGCGTACAGCAAGAACGTGTGCCAGCTGCGCATTGACTTTGCCATGACCCTGGCTCAGCCGACGGTGCAGGAAAGGGAGGGCACAGACCAGAGATACGTCGAGTGCACGCAGGACTTCTTCGAGGTCAATGGCCTGCGTTTGTGTGGCGTGGAGACATGGCAGCACATCTATGTGCCCTTCAATGCCACGTCGGGAGTCTCGCGCATCGATCTGCTGATCTCGCTGGCCAACCGTGCTGGTTCTACGGGTCTGCCTACACCTGAGTGGGACATGACAGTCACACAACTAGAATGTCCCGCCGGCAGCTCTGTGCGCTCTGTGGCTGAGGAGACCGAGACAGTCGATGAGGAGCCACTGCATCCACAGGCGCGTGCCACTATCACTGATGGCTTCTTTGTGGCACCACCTGGCTGTCTGCAGTACTTCCCACAAGCCTCAGGCGCTGTCAAATCCTTCAACTATAATGACGGCGCTGGAATTTACCCCTCAAACCTGAATTATGCCATTTGTTTCCGACGCACTACGGCCACCAACGCTCTCAGGTGGGTGAACAGTTGAAGGCATTTAAATGGGAAAACACATCGTTCTTCTTTTTGTAGAATTCGCATGTACTACTTCCACGTAGGCGCTGAAGAAGTTTCTGGTAATCTTTTGACGGACAACTCTTGCTACCACAGTGGAGCTGCCAGCAATCCAGGCGATGATTTCCTGATGGTCCCCGAGGCTGTGCTAACTGAGAGCAACGAAGCCGCCACATATTTCTGTGGCGCCATTCAGAAGGATGCGGTCATAACCAGTAAGTTCGGCCAAAGCTTTTGCCATAATGTAAGGCCTGCTATATTAAAAGCTTTCGCTTAGGTAACAACCCTGGACCGCTGGTGGTGCTTTTCAAGAGTGACGAAATCTACAAGGCAAAAGAAGCAGGATTTGCTTTCACCTATACCGTTGAATAGAGCTTTTGTGTTGTAAAGCTTATGAAGCTTGTGAAGCTTACACAGGTTTCTATGAAATACAATAAATAAACATATATGTACCTAACTATTTGACTCACTAATTTTTCAACTCTTCAAAAGCTTGGTAGTCTTTCAATATGGCGAACGTTTCACTTTATTTCCAACTGTCTTAAAATATATATAAAACTACGAGTAATATGCATGCGTTTTCATTATGCAAAAAATTTAAATTTACACAAATTCCGCGCCAAAAGAGCTTATAATAGATTTTAACTGCGTAGCTTATAAACCACATGGATCGCAGGCCTTCACGGTGGTTAAGTTGAGCATTTAGATATAAAATTTTAAAAACTTGTATATCAGTTGGTTCCACAAATGCCAGCAGAAAAAGACGATTGTCAATTCAATAACCGAACAATTGTAAAAAAATAGCAATAAGAATGAATTATTTTATTATTTTATAATGATCATGTCTTTCTGCTTACTTGCTATTGCAAAACTCTTATCAAATGTGAGCTGTACAAGTGCTTACAAAGTTTGTCTTTGTGTTGACAATACTTATCATTGATAATAGCAGCGCCTAGGTAATTATTATCTTCTGCAACTTTACAATTTGTTTGTCAACATGTCATACTATCTGTTTGCAAATTATTTAACAAATAACAATCACATGGAATGTATGGAGCCGAATGCCTTTAGAACGGTTTTGGTGGGTTGAACAACCTGTAGAAAAAGTATTTGGTGTAAGCTTTAAAGCTTTCTATAGCATGAAGCTTACAGTGCCTTTATCCAGGACAGTATCAAAATGTGCAAGTGGGCTTATGGGAAAACTTAATTGTTAATTCAGCTCAAAAAGCAACAGGTTTTTTAATTGGCAATGCAGATTATACAGATAAGAAATGTTGAATGCGAGCCCCTTTTTGCTACCAATCGGTAAATATTATAGTGCAAAAAACAATTTAAAAAAAGATTTTTTGGGTCATAAATTATATTTGTTGTGAACTATGAACTGCAAAACGCTAAAAATATTCAGAGCTTAGAAAAATGCTTATCAACAGCTCAGGCGCAACACAGCATGTTGCGCGCAGCATGTTGCGAAGTCGACGGCAACAGTCAAACGCAACAAAAACGACACAATACCCATTGGAAATTGTCGGAATAAGTAAGTACAATTAATCAAAGTAAGAAAAGAGCAAAATATCAGCTGATACTCAACGCAACGCAAATATCACTATTGATAAAGGGTCTCGCAACACGCAGATGTTGAGCATACCGTATGTTGCTGCAGCCACAACACGTTGGCAACAATGTTGCGTCAGCCGGCGCTTTGCTGTGTGTTTTGTGGCACGCTGACTTCAGTTGGCATTCAACCGCCGCGATTTGAAAACGAGAAGCGCGCATGATTCCACACAAGACGTATATGTTATGAGTTTTTCAAACATAGGAACGAAAATGGAACAGCGCGCCAAATGCTAGCGATAAGCACACGCGAAAATAAAATAAAAACAAAATTTTGAAAACATTTTTAAAAAAAGTTTAAAATAGCGATTTGTTTCAAATACATACATTAAAAGTTTTTATATGTTCAAGTGCACATAAAAGACATTAAAAATTACGTATACGCCCGTTTTGTGCTCTATGGGCAGCCGTTAATCGTGCAGTCGTTAATCGGGTAGTTGGTATAGCTTATGTCGTTTTTCTCGTCGCTTGTGATGTTCCTATTGTTATCTGTGGCTGCAGTGCGTTCTTTTCAAAAGCCAATTAAAGTGTCCAGCATTTAATCAAGTTGCCAGCAGCGCAACTTTGTCACAAAAGAGAGCAGCAAGTTTGCGGCGTCCTCAACGCCCAAGTGCGCGTGCCGCATTTCTCATACACTTCAGGCACATTCGAAAATTCCCAGTGAAAACATACCCATAAATTAACAACTAATTCAATTAAATGCTGACAGCGTCAACGGGCGAGGTAGCAGCAGATTCCAGAGCGATCCGGCAGCCACTGCAGTAAAGGGACAGTAAAGCCAAGGAGCTGCCTGTGCTGCAGTGCCGCAGGATATGCGGTGTGTAGCTTAAAGGCAACAAGAAAGTCGCCCGACATCGTCAACAGCTTGGTAAGTTCATACAATAATAAAATTGTTTTTTAAAGGCACTTCCACACGCTCGACATACATATCAAGAGTGTGTGTGTGTGTGTTTGTGTGTGCGAATAAAAGAGTGTGTGTACGAGTATATGTGTGTCTACGGATTTTTCAAATGTTCCGGCATTTCTAGCCCTCTCGACTGTCTGGGTCTGCGTGCTGTGCCTCAATTATGAAACCGGAAATTATCAACGGCAAGCGCAGAGAGTGGGAATCAGTTTATGGTCTTTGTAAGACACTCTAAGCATTTTGAAGTAAATTAAACAAAGTTCGTTAGTAAGTGTTTTAAAGGGTTGGCCTCTACCGCTTTGTGCTTTCGCGCTGTTGACTTTAATTGCATCTTAAAGTGGAAATGCTTAAATCTGCCATCCAAAAACTGAAACAGCTCTTGGTCTGCAGGATTAAAAGTTTATGCGAATGTCACTGGTATAAAGATTAATGCGAGCAGTTTTCCACAAGCAGCTGGCAGTAAGGCCCAAAGGAATTCATATTTTCACAAACACATGTATACGTGTACACACAGGAATGTTGGCAAAGCCATGCGTATGTCAAGGGTCAACTTGTAAATTAGCTTTTGTTTTTTAGCTTTTTATTGCTGTATTATGCAGTGCCCAAATCTGTGCTTTATACTTTGTTAGCATTATGTGCTTTCCTCGGCTTCCAAATAATCAACATACTTTGTTGCCTTTTGCATGCAAATTCGCAAACTCTCGGCTCCCCTCAGTGCGTTTCACAGTGACGCCAAAATTAAGGCGACCCCCGATCAAAGCTAAAGCTGACGCACGCAACAAAGCCATAAATCTTCGACAAATGTCTTTAATTGTTTAGATAGCATCAAGCAATAATCGAAGAGACAAACCGATTTCGTATTGTAGTGTGTGTGACTTTTTTTTACTTTTTCATTATTTCTCATATTTTCTTTAGGTGATTATGTAACACGAACGACATGATAAATCTACAGCAATTTGTCATTCGCACTGGCTAACAAGTTAAGCCTAACGTGTGGCTAAAACAAACATTTTGCACGTTAACATTCCGTTTATTGTCTATTTGTTATTAGACGCTTACGTGTCGGCTTTCCTGCTGTTATTGTGGCTTCACTTTAAAATTTTTATCAGTTAAATGCATTTACTATTTCGTTTAGATAATAAGCCTGTTGGCTCAGTACACAGGGAAACCGCAACCATACGCAAATACATATACTAGTGCGATAGTTCCATGGTATAAGCGGCGGGTATTGTTGTTATATTTTTGAAACAATACAAGTATGAGGTTATAAATCCAAGAGCAATAACAAAATAAAAGTCAGGAATAATTTACGCTCCTAATCGTTCATATATGTATTAAATGCTGAGATGAACTATTTTCTACAGCTCGATGGCAAATATAAATATAATTTATTCGTAGAAAAAATGCACTGCAAAAACAAATGGGAAAGATTTCAAAGAATATATAATATAATATAGAATACCAAAAAAAAAAACTGACTTAATTCCCTGTCTATCTATCTATGTACCTATTTATATATCTACCCCTTTATGTTAATACTGCATTAAGTATTATGCAAGTATAAGTCCTTTAAAGAATTTATAAAAGGCTTCAATTAAGCTAGACCTGCAATTATCTCTATAATAAATTATCGCATAATTAGTGTACACATGCATAAAGTGAATTTATATTGATGTCTAGAGTTTCTAAAGACTATTTTATTTACTTCCATACTTAACCGTTTTCATAACAACTTTTCATTGTCCTTTTTTTGTTTGCTAGAGTTTGCGTTGTTGAAAATATGTTATTTTATTTTCATCAGTGTGGGAAGAGGAAAAGGACGAAAATTTCAAGGTTGTTGTCCACCGTCACAAACTTTTATTTCAATTGACAGGCGAAAAATATATCTCACCGAAAATTATAGTGTTGCTTTGCATGTACAAAACATTCATTGTGCAAAGAAATTTTTTATAAAATTCGTCAAAATCTGTGCGAAGGAACTTTTATTAACAAATATAATATTGCATGCATATTTATAAATGAATAAAGATGTGTTTAAATTATAAAAGCTATTATAAAAAGTGTCACTTTATAAAAAGGGAACATCTGTATGGTTATACGATTTCACTATAGTTGTGTTGCGCTAAAATGTCGTGGAAAAAGCAAAAATTAAAAGATCAAAAGATGAGATGCAGTTTTAATTAAGTCTTTGTAATCAGTACCGAAATTCCTGCAGAAAAAAAGAAACCATTTCAATTATTCACACCAAATACCAGCTCTTCAAATTGAAATACTCTTTAATTTCGATATCAGGACACACTTATATTTAGCTATGCCTCACAGCACAAAAATAAAGGCACGTCGTAGTCTCCTTTCATCCAGCTGAGTACTAGACTTATGGCCATTAACAACTTTTCATCAATTTCCTTTCAATCTGTTTGTTTTGTTGGGCATTTCAATCAAAAGCAAGTTCGCGCCTTTATTTAGAGCACCATTTACGAGTACAACCGCAATTTTCATACATTAAAATGTTAGCTAAAACGGCAGACGATGGGAAAGCGGCGCGAAAATTCCAAACAGGCAACAACAAAGCAAACGCATCAAGTATAAATGATTACAATAACAAAAACAAAAGCGAAAACTGGGCGTGTTGATTGAGCTGTAAGAGCGTACAAATTCAATCAATTTTGTGTGCGGTTTTCTCAATTAATTTTCATTATTCTGGTATATTTGGAGAACGAGGCATTAAATAAGCTTAATCGGCCTGAGCAGCCATAACTACGCAACAGCTGGCTGTGATGTTCTGCTCTAAGTCATAGGCAAATTAAAATTAATTGTTATTATTGGCAATGAAAACGTTCACACACGAGCATATTAATAGAAAAACGCGCGCAAAACGTTCGCAAAACGCGCACGCGTTTTCCACACATGTGAGTCACGTTACTCTTGCCGGTTTTTCAGCCAAGATTAATGGCCACAGGGAGCTGAAACGTGTAGGAAACGTGCACAGATTGCAGGTCTGCAACTCTGGGATGCTGCATCGAACAGAGAAACAGATAAATAAACCGACAAACCAACAAACCAACAAACTACACAACTAATGCGCGTCTTACATGGCCAACTGTGTGCGGGTTCAATTAACGCTCAGACATCTCGTTGACAGTCCAACAGGCAACAGACAGCGGGCAACATGCAACTGGACACATGGCCGCCTTAAAAGGCAGAGCAGCAGCAGCAGCAGCAGTTGCAGTTGCAGTGGCAGCAGCAAAAGTTGTTAATTGGAATTTAACAAGCACTAAAAGCGTCTAATGGAATATATAGTACTATATTCGTATGTATGTACGCATATGCGTGCTACGTGGCATGCGGCCTTCAGCTGTTTGCAGCTACTTCTCATTTTCCGCCTTACCAGTTTTCCCACTCATCCAGGTTCAATAATTCGATGCATCAGCAGGAGCAGCAGCAGCAGCACAATCATCTCTTTTATCGTCAGCAAATGTAGAAATTAAGTTTGCCCATCTTTCCTGAATGCCAGAGAAACCGCCACTGGGCGCTGTCAGTATCATTTACGTTCCGTCCAGCTTTAAACAATTCGCTTATTTGTCGTGCAAAGTGAACTGTCAAGAAAACCAGCTGAAAGCAGACTCACAGGAGAGCCAAGATATGCCTACAAGTATAGCGGAGGCCATGTCCATATCTGGCAGATGAACAGCATGCCACGCCGCTGTTTGTCAGTCAATCAGTCGGCATTCAATATTTCGTTTAAATGCTACAACAATTTTTACAAGCTGTGCAGACTGATAGCCGACTTCTCGCTTAACACAAACAGATTGGAAATTGCCTTTATAATAATATAATGGCAATAGTATTTCAATAATATTTGCCAAAAATAGTTCGTTCTTCAAATGTGCCTGAAGCTGGTTAATCCACGCATTGCTATTTCTACTCCTTACAACATTTTTTAACATACCCGTATATACTTGTATGACAAACAACTTATGATACATTAAAAAGACTTATTCTTAGTCTATTAGAGTCAACGACCCCATTTGGCTGTGAATTGAGGCAAAGCAGGAAGGCAAATAAAATTCCCCCGAACAATTTGAAGGCGTTAATTTCATTAAATTATTTTCTATTTATAGTTTTAACAGGCTTCAAGGCTCTGGAATTTAAAAATTAAAAATAAATAAATAAAAAACATCTATAATCATCTTGCTTGACGGTCGCTTTAGAGAGATAATGGAAGCTATGATTTTGTTGCGCACTCGGTTTCGCATTCAATCAGCGGCAACATCAACACTCTGTAATACTTTGTGCCTGGCCTTTGTTCCTTTGCTGCTGACAGGCAACGCCATAATGGCCATGTTGCCTTTTCTAGCTCTTTTGTGACAAGCACACACATGACCCACACCGCTGGCACACAGAGCGGCAGATCTCGCGCACCTTTGTGCCGCTGTCAACGCTAATGAAGCGGCGACAGCAACTCTGAGGCAAGGCCATGGTTGTACTCGTACATGCCACACGTGCCGTTGGCCAAGTTGTGAGGCTTGGCTTAATCGTGCGGCATGCGCCTGCTTTGATAAGCACAGAGGCAGCCAAACCCGTTTGTTCACTTGCCAAAAACAATCAGCTCGAAACAAAACAAACAAAAAACGCCTACGGCTGATGTTTAGCCTCATCTGAGCCGAGCTCAGCTGCTGCCATCCTCAATTTGGGCCGCACGCCGTGTCGTTGACATTAATCAATTGCAATATGTGCGCACAGCAGGATATTGGCCAACAGAGGCTCCCATGGATTTTCATATTTTGCGGCGAGCGCTGTCGCATCTGCCACGAGCCGCACACAAAAACAGTTGGTCATAAATTAAGAGCAAGTGCCGGAGGCAACACCTGCAACTAGTGCCTTGACTTTGCCCCACACTTAGTGGTTTTGACACTTTCGATGCGAACAGCGCGCCGCACAATAATGCTTGGCATTCATAAATA